GTTGCCTGAATTCACACTTTCGGCCTCTGAAACGGCCAGGAAATAATTTCTGTTCTTTAAAGCCACTTGTGGTATTTCTGTTACAGTAGCTCTAGGAAACTCCACAAACATACACGCGTGCACGTAGCCCCGACCCCAGGGCCAAGCCCAAAGCCCCGGTTCTTACCTCGGAAGGATGACACCAGAGGCTTGACAAAGGTTGGAGATGCACTGTGCTCCTCTGTAGGTAAGCATTTTCCACAGTAGGGGCAGAATTTGAATGTTGATTCGATACTTTTGCCACACTCTGGACAGAAGGTGATCATGCTGTAAAACAGAAGTGGTGGGGAGGGAACAGGAAGCTGAAAGAAAACTTAATCCTCAGCCAACTGGCAGAGGGCCCTGGTGGCATCCAAGTTCTTTATATTACGAGGCTGCAAGGGAATGGAGAGCTATTATACCTGATGGGTTCCGTAAGAGGGGTTCTGGGTGGCGTGAATGGTTAAGTGCTCAACTCCTAATCAGAAGACTGGCAGCTCAAACCCAGCCCAGAGGTGCTTCTTAAGAAAGACCTGGTGATATGCTTCCATAAAGAAGACAGCAGAAAAACCCCACTGAGTTCTGTCTACTTTCTAACACATGGGTTGACTCCACAGCAGTGGGTTTGGTTTGGTTTCTTGCCTACCTATCTAAAGATAGGAGCTCTGGTGGCATAGTGGTTAAAGTGTTCGACTGTTGACTGAAAGGTTAAGGGTTCAAACCCACCAGCCACTCCATGGGAGAATGATGAGGCTGTCTGCTCTTGTAAATATTACAGCCTCAGAAACCCTGTGGGGTAGTTCTATTCTGTCCTATAGGGTCACTATCAGTTGGAATTGATTTGATGCAGTGGGTTTCGTCTTTCAGCTTATCTAAAGCAGCTTTCTCTTCACAAGTTGCATTATTAAAGCGCCCCACTGGGAGTCTCTAGGTGGCACACACAGTTAAGCACGTTACCAGTCAAAGGGCAGGCAGTCTGAACCCACCCAGAGGGGCCTCAGAAGACAGGCCTGGTGACCTGATTCTGAAAGGTCCCAGCCTTGAGAACATGCTACGGAGCAGCTGTACTCTGCACATGCAGGGCACCATGATTGGAACCGACTCTGCGGCCACTAAGAATAACAAACATTCCCTGTGGAACTGGCCGGTTCAATAATTCCTACCTACTGCCTTGTGGCACAGTGGTTAAGTGTTCAGCTCCTAACGCATAGGTTGGTGGTTCAAACCCACCAGCAGCTCTGCTGGAGAAAGATATGGCATTCTGCTCTCATAAATATCACAGCCTTGGAAACCCCATGGGGCAGTTCTACTCTGTCCTACAGCATTGCTGAGAGTTGGAATTGACTTGATGGCTTGGGTTTATGGGTTTACTCAGGGTCTTCAACTGTCCTTGTGACATTCATTTCCTAAACTGTGTGATAGGTATGGGAGGGACAATCATGCTTATCAAATACCTATACACTTCCCTATACTCCTAGCCTCCCTTGCACCTAAATTGGGGCTACATGCTATGGACTGAATTGTGTGCCCCAAAATATGTATTGGAATCCTAATTTCTACACCTAGGGATGCAATCCTATTTGAAAACAAGGATTTCTGTGTTGTTAATAAGATCCTATCAGTGGAGGGAAGGAGTCCTGGTGGTGCACTTGTTAAGTGTTCAGCTGCTAACTGAAAGGTCAGTGGCCTGAGTCCACCCAGTGGCTCTGCGGGAGAAAGACCTGGTGACCTCTCCTGTGAAGATTACAACCGCAAAAACCCTATGGGGCAGTTCTACTGTCACAGGGGGTCGCTGTCAGTTGGAATTACCCCGCATACTATCTGTGCAGGGTGTGTCTAACCCTCATCACTGCTGAGAGACGTAAGGAATAGGACAGACATGGGGAAAATGGATGCCATCAGAAGATGCGGCAGCAGATGTAACCACAAGCCCGGGAACTCAAGGACTGCTAGCTATTATGAGCCCTTGGGCAGTAGGGCGCTTGGCTGCGAACTGAAAGGTTGGTGGCTTGAACCTATCAGTGGCTCCGTGGGAGAAAGATCTGGCGATCTGCTCCCATAAAGAGTCCAGCCCAGGAAACCCTTTGGGGCAGCTCTACTCTGCCTCATGGGGTCACTGTGAGTAGGAATCGACTCAAGGACACACAATGACAAGAGAAGCTGAAACAGACAAGGAGCACGCTCCCCCAAAGCCACGTGCTGAGACTGGATGCCTCGCCTTCTGAATTCTGAGAAAACCAGGGTTACCCCTGAAAGCCTCCTTCCCACCCCCCAGTGGACTTCCTGTGACAGCAGCACTCAGACGACTAAGGCTTACACGTGACGAGTTCTGGCCAATGCGCTCTGAGCAGAAGGCACTGCCCTGCAAAGCAGTTCAAAGCTGGGGAAGCCTCTGTCTATGCTTTTTCTGCAGGGATGACCCTGGAGGCAGGGTCCGGTTACCCAACAAGCAAGGTAAGCACGGGCTTATCATGCTTTCTTACTGATCTGTGGTGAACCATCTTATACTTTTTTCACCACATCAAAGATTCTGCTTCTAGGTGTAGCTGGCATCTATCTGTCAACCCCATAGCACCTTCCTACAGAATCAAAGGTCTTTGCAAATTTACAATCCCTGACAAGAATGGAGTACCCAGTAAGCAAGCAAGATAAGCCCGGGCTTACTTGTGCTTACTTACTAATCTGTGGCGAAAAGTTTCACACCTCATGTTTACTTTGCTTACTGGGTAATCTGCCCCTGCCCTGAGGCCACATATTCTAATAGTGTAGCTACAAGATATAGGGCAGCTGACTGGCCCAAGAAGCTCTGGTGGTGTAGTGTCTAAAGCATTTGACTGTTAACCAGAAGGCTGGCGGTTCAAATCCACCAGCCGCTCCACAGCAGAATGAATGGGCAATCTACTTCTGTAAAGATTTACTGCCTCGGAAACCTAAAGGGGGTCACTATGAGTCAAAATCAACTTGATGGCAGAGTTTGGTTTTTGGTTTTGCCTGTGCAACAGGAATCTCAAAACCGACGGATGACCTTATAGTGCATTACGCCATCAAGATTTCAGGGCCCAGGCTCGTCTATCCCGGTTAACCGAATGAGGCAACGCAGGGTCACAACATCATTCTTAAGCCCCGAGTATCTATACTTCCTAACAGACCCAGAAGAGTGCTGTGAAGCTGAGAACAGTGAGAAACAGCAGCAAACATGGCAGAGCCCACAGGCAGCAAAGGGCAGCAGCAGTACAAGCAGCGAGAACAGAACCACGAGACAAGCGTATGGCTGAGGGGGGCCGAGAGACACAGACAGACAGACAGACAGGCAGACAGACAGCTGAGTGCCCTCGGGAAGCAGGCTTGCTGATGGATCAAGGAGCCTCCAGGCCCTTTCAGTGGAACTAAAGAGCTGTAACACTTGCCTGAGCAGGCAAAGGACCAGAGAAGGGCTGCCGGCTGGTATGGCTGAAAGCTGTCCTGTCTGATGAACTTGATCCTGACCCCAAGTTGTAGTCTGTTACTTCCCTAATAAATGCCAGAACCATGAGTACAGTCTGTGAGTTGTGTGTGGCCATTGCAAAGAATTACCAAATCCAGCAGAGAAATCAAAGAGTGCTGTGAGAGGGATGGTTGGTGGCAGAAATGGTGAAAAACCTGGAGAGTGGAGGCATGTCCGATCTCCACCTCAAGGAATCAGCTTTGGGCTGCTCCTGACTCATCCCTTGGGAATCTTGGCAAGTTCTGATGCTAGGGTACAACTGGGAAGCTGATACCTACCTTTATGGGGTCACGGTCTGGCCTGTGGAGTCACTGGGCTGGGAATTTCATTTTAACAGTGCCCTGTAAGTGAACAGAAGAGGCTGACTCAGGCCCGCTTTACATGAGTTAAAGATAATGGTTCATGTTTCCTTAGTATTGGCTACAGAGCCGGCACATGCAGCGTTTCCTTCCTTCATTTATTTTCCTTCGTTCACTCAGCAATTACTGAGCGCCTTACTACTAGTCGCTGGGAGGCCTGGGGGTGCAGTGGTTAATTGCTTGGCCGCTAAAAATAAGGTTGATGGTTCGAACCCACTACTCACTTCATGGGAGACAGATGCAGCAGTCTGCTTCCATAAAGATTAGAAACTCAGTGTTATCAGGTTGATTCCAACTCATAGCCAACTCACGTGGTACAAATTGCCCCATAGGATTTCCAAGGCTGTAAATCTTTAAGGAGGCAGACTGCCACATACAAGCATTAAAGGCAACAAAGGCAAACACTATTACATACACAATCCTGTAATAACAGTGGTAACAATAAATCTACTGAGTGGATACATAGACACTCAAGCTGAATAGGGTTTGGAAGGTGAATGGGAATACACTCACAAATATATATAGGCTTGACAGAGGGTATCTTTACATAGGAATTTATAAACCAAAAACCAAAAGTCACAGCGATCCCTCCTTGGGTTTCCGAGGTGGTACCTCTACGGAAATACGATTGTTCAATCTTTCTTCCGAGGAGTGGCTGGTGGGTTTGAACCGCCAGCCTTCTGGTTAGCAGTCAAATGCCTTAGGCACTGCGCCACCAGAGCTCCCCAGGTATTTATATGGGCTGCAAATATATCAATGAATATAGTAGAGCATACAGAGGGCAAAGTTATGAAAATACTTTGATGGAACGAGTGGTTGGACCTGGGGGCTCAGGACCATAGTCCTGGGGGACACTGAGGTCAACTGACATAACACAATCCACAGAGACAATGTTCTACAACCTACTTTTGTGAGTAGCAACTGGGGTCTTAAAAGCTTGGGAGGAGCCATCTAAGGTCAACCATCGGTGTCTCCTAGGCTGCCATCTGTCCAGAAGCAGACTGCCAGGTCTTTCTCCCATGGAGCTGCTGGGTGGGTTCAAACTGCCAACCTTTCAGTCACCAGCTGAATGATTCACTGTTGCTCCAACAGGGCTCCTTCACAGCCAGTGTAAAAGCCAAAACTCTTACCACAGCCCACAAGGCCCGTCTTAATACGCCATCCCTATTCACACTCTGACCTCACTTCTCACTTCTCCGCTCACTTGGCATCAGCCACAATGGCTTCCTTGCTTTCCCCCAAACATGACAAGCACATTCTGTCTCAGGACATTGACATATGCTGTTACATCTGCTTGGAATGTTCTCTCCAGAGTGTCTATGGCTCACTCTCTCATCATGTTATTCAGGACTCTGCTCAAATGTCACCTTCTCATAGATACCTTCTTTGAACTATTTTACAAACAACACACACTACAGTTCAACTCTACCCAGAGTGCCTCAGGGGGAAGGCCTGGCAATCTGCTTCTGTAAAGATGACAGCCAAGAAAACCCTAGGGAACTCGGGTCTACTCTCTAACACAGGGGTCTCCAGTGAGTCAGATCACACTGCTGGCAATGGAGTTGACTTTGGTTTTTATCATCCTTGTTGTTGTGTCTCTGGTAGCATAGTGGCTAAGACACTTGCCTGCTAACCAGATGGCTGGCGGTTCAAACCCACCAGCCACTCCTCGGAAGGAAGGTTGGGCAATCCTACTTCCGTAGTGATACTGCCTCGGAAACCCAAGGAGGGGTCGCTATGAGTCGGGGCCGACTCGACGGCACATAACAACAACAACAACAACAATTGTTGTTGTCAGATGCCATCAAGTCAGTTCCAACTCACAGTGACCCTACTATGTACAGAATGAAACACTGACCAGGCCTGTGTCATCCTCACAACTGTTGCCATTTTGAGCCCATTGTTGCAGCCGCTGTGTCAGTCCATCTCATTGAGGGTCTTCCTCTTTTTTGCTATTTAGCAAACCCAGCAGAGAAGTCAAGAGTCCTGTGGGAGGGATGGCTGGTGGCACTTTACCACGCATTATGTCCCTCTCCAGGGACCGGTCCCTCCTGACATGTCCAAAATATGTGAAATGAAGTCTTGCCATCCTTGCATTTAAGGAGCATTCTGGCTCTACTTCCAAGACACATTTGTTCATTCTTCTGGCAGTCCATGGTTTGTTCAGTATTCTTCACCAACACCATAATTTAAAGGCATCAATCCCTTTTGATGTTTCTTGTTCACTGTCCAGCTTTCACTTGCATGGCTTGAGTCAGGCCCACCTTAGTCTCAAAGTGACATATAAAACACCTTAAAGAGGTCTTTTGCAGCAGATCTCCCTAGTGTAATACATTGTTTGATATCTTGACAGCTGCTTCCAGGCATGTTGATTATGGATCCAAGTAGAATGAAAACCTTTACAACTTCAATCTTTTCTGTGTTCATCACGATGTTGCTTACTGGTTCACTTGCAAGGATTTTTGTTTTCTTAGTGTTGAGGTACAATCCACACAGAAGACTTTGATCTTTATCAGTAAATGATTAAAGTCCTCTTCACTTTCAGCCAGCAAGGCAGTGTCATCTGTATGTTGGAGAAGTGTTAACGAGTCTTCCCCCAATCTTGATGCCACGTTCTTCTTCATATAATCTTGGGTTATTTGCTCAGCATACAGATTGCGTAAGTATGATGACTTTGGTTTTTATCATCCTTGTTGTCAGGTGCCATCAAGTCAGTTCCAACTCATAGGACCCTACTATGTACAGAATGACACTGCCCAGGCCTGTGTCATCCTCACAACTGTTGCCACATTTGACCCCACTGTTGTAGCCGCTGTGTCAGTCCATCTCATTGAGAGTTTTCCTCTTTTTTGCTGACTCTCTACTTATCAGATCCAGCAGAGAAGTAAAGAGTGCTGTGGGAGGGATGGCTTCCCGATTCTGAGAAGTATTTCCCGATTCTAAGCTACAAAGTATCCCCTTCTTCTGTATGAATGACTACCTCTTGGTCTGTGTACACATGCCTTGTGAGCACAATCAAGTGTTCTGGAATTCTCATTCTTTGCAATGTTACCCATAATTTATTTTGATCCACACAGTTGACTGTTTTTGCGTAGTCGACAAAGCACAGGTAAGTATCTTTCCGATATTCTGCTTTCAGCCAAGATCCATCTGACATCAGCAATGATATCCCTCGTTCCATATCCTCTTCTGAATCCGGCTTGAATTTCTGGCAGTTCCTTGTCAATATACTGCTGCAACTGTTTTGACCCTGCTTCACTTTTCTTCACAGCACTTGTCACCACCTGATATACTCTTCGTTGCTCTATGCTATGGACTGAATGACTTTCCCGGTACCTGTGACTTCATTTGCAAATAGTCTTCAGAGATGTTATCAAGGCTCCCGGGTGGCACAGTGGCTCAGTGCTTGGCTGCTATCTGAAAGGTCAGTGGTGTGAACTCACTCTGCAGCAGAAAGATCTGGAGACCTGGGCTCATAAAGATTACAGCCAAGAAAGCCCTATGAGGCAGTTCTCCTGTCACGTGGCATCTGTGACAAATGGAATTGTGTCCTCCCAAAATATGTGTTGTGAATTCTAACCCCTCTCTATACCATTTATGCATGGGTTCTGTTATGCTCATGAGGCAGAATGAGTGTAGGTTGTGCCTTCAATCAATCTCCTTTAAGAAACAAAAGCAGAGAAAACAAGGGAGCAAGCAGAGATGGGGGAGATAGATGCACCACCACATGGAGATCACCAAGGATCCAAGGAACAGGACCTGAAAAGAGACAAGGACCTTCCTCCAGAGCTGACAGCGAGAATAACCTTCCCCTTGAGCTGGAGCCCTGAATTCTGACTTCTAGCCTCCTCAACTGTGATGAAATAAATTTATGTTCTTTAAAGCCACTCATTTGTGGTATTTCTGTTATAGCAGCACTAGGTAACTAAGACTGGGTGGCCAGTAGTTGGAAATGAGCGGACGCCATCCAACACTAACAAAGATGCTATCAGATAATGTGAAGTTATGCTGGGGTAGGGTGGGTCCTGATCAGGAGAGGACAGAGACACAGAGGGAAGCCGGCCATGTACAGACAGGCAAAGATGGAGACACAATGCAGCTAGCTGCAAGCCAAGAACACCCCGGGCCACCAAAAGCTGAAGAGACATGGGAAGTCTCCTCAAACCTTTGGAGAGAGCATGGCCCTGCCGACCGCCAGAATTTGGACTTCCAGCTTCCGGAATGCTGAGAGAAGATAGATTTGCTGTTTTGAGCCTCCTG